TGGCAATACAAGATCTTGTTCAGTAATTCTAGTGAATTTCCAGGCAGATGATCATTTTTTCAATCTGTCTGAAGCCTGGGACTTGTGCCAGTATAATTCCCCAGACACAAAGTATTCTGGAAATATGTCTGGACTTTGGGTGAATGGTCAATTTGATTCCCCAAGAGGTATTCTAAATATCTTTATTTAAAAAAAAGTTTAAAATGTTCCGACACTACAGTCTAAAATAGTCCTTCACTTAGCAATTTTCCATCTTCAACATTCATTGGAAGTAATGAGACCTTTTTTTTTTAAACTCAAAGATGGAGTAATAAGTACTGCATATGATCAAAGAATGACTTTTAAAATACAAAAAATAATCATATGTAAGAAGAATGAAATAAATTGGTATAAAAACATTTAAATAGTTATCTATGCAAAGTTTCAGTGTAACTGCACACATTGAGATTTCTTCGTGCACCTCTTCTTCAAATATAGCACTTTTTAACATACTGTGGCATTGAAATACTGAACTTTTCAAGAAAAGCTGTGGAGAGTGGCTAAGATTATTCTGTATATTTCAGCTACAAAAGTTTTTTTTTAATGAAATATTTGTGTAGGGAAGTATATGACACCTGAAGAAGGCTCCACAGCTGAAACATTGTGTTTCTTTTCTGCTCTTTTCAGCATGGAATAAACCTATTACTTGTTCCATACTCCAAAATAGGTTGCCATTGTTTAGGGGTTGTTTGTTAACATAAGAAAATATTTTTTATGTATTACTTTTCAATGTTAAACTATGTATAATTTACATAATTGTATAAAGGACATAATTAAATTAATATAAATACCACCGTTCCATGTTTGCTTTCGAGTGTGACCCTTTTGGAACAGTGGTAGAGGGACTATAATATACAGTACCAAATGTGTCCAGACTTTGGAAAGAAATACACCACTTTTTATTATTAAAACAATACACATGTACTGTTGCAAAATATTTCTAACAAAATTTAATTGTCAGCTAAAAAGGTATCATTATGTCTCCCTACACATTTAGTGATTTGTTTTGTCAGCCCTGAATATATAGTGGACAATACACAATGATGTTAATTCTTAATCATCTGCTGTGTTCAACACAGAGTGCATATACTGTACAGAGGCTGTTGTTTCCATGACAGGAATCATGCCAGATTACATTACAGGTCTCCCACCTGTGTGTTAGGATAATGATTTCAAACTTGTGTTTAATTGACTCTTGATTATAAAAGCTCAAAATGACTTGTTTACCCTCTTCCAAATATGTAAAATCAAAGCAACTAAATGAAACAAGTCTTTCCAGCCTACTGTAACAATATAACATGAAGTAGTAACAACACAGAATTAAAAATGGAGATGCAAATAGAATATTCTATAATTCCCATAATTATTTTTCAGCATTTCAAAAACTTAAAATCCAAAAATGCTGGACAAAGTTAGAAACTGTTTTATATCTGGTCTTGCCCTTTTCTGTTCAGTTGTCTCATTACGTTTCACCTTGTAAGCACTGATTAAATCAGAGTTTGAAGTTACAGTACAGTAGCAAGGGGGATGCTCAGTCTTAGACAAAGTGGTTATTTCTGAACCACATTTTTCTACATTGCTGTTTTTTCTCCATCAAAGGCCATGTGAAAATACTTGAATCAGTTAAAAATCAACACACTCCATTTCCAGAAGGAGGAAGCAAAAGTGAATGAGGAAATCAATAGGGAGCAGCAGCAGCAAGAGAGACAGTGTTGTCTTTAAAATGTGAAATCAGTTTACAATAGCAATACTGTAGCTGTACTTTAAAGGAGTGTAATACGACCTTACAGAGAAATTCATCAATATTTACAACTGCTGTGTAAATCTTTTTAAACTAGACCTTGCCACAATTGTTTTCTCAGACTTCAGTTATTCACTGTATAATATATGAAAGGAAAAGCTGTGTGAATCTTAGAAAAAATGTAATTCGTCCAACGCATGATACTAGATACTAAAAAAGGACCACAATCTTTTACTGAGTGAGAATCATTTGATTTTAATAGAGACCGGAATGCTCTACAGCAAAGGGAAGAGACTGATTTTAAAAATGCTTGGTAGTAAGGCATTAAAGCTGCAAGACTAGAATTAAAGCAGGCCAGGGAATAAGGTTCTTTTCTGTAAGTAGTATGTGAGGAGATTAAGAGATGCATGTTGATCTCTCTCTGCTAGCCAGCTGTGACATGATTTTGCCCAACAGAGCAGGAGGAATCCCTCTTTTTGACAGCTGAACAGTCTTGTTTTAGAACCAGCAGTACGTACTTTCACAGGTGCTCTAGAATCAGGTGTTCATTTAAAGGATTCTGTATACTGTAGCTGATATATATCTTTATTTTAAAATAATTTTAAACTTGACCTTAATTTTTTGTTTATATTTTTTATAGTTTCTTTTTATCATATCGAAAGCACCTTTTTTCCTGTGAATGTTAATTTTCTGGTGTTGTAATAATAATATTAATAATAATACCTGCGCTTGTACAATGTTACCTGTAAAATGTGAGAATCAGAAAAGATATGCTGCTGGCAATAATAATTACAGTAAGCAGTATATATACAGTAGAATCAGTGTGCAGCTGGACAGTCATACAACTGAAACAAAATATGCATGAAGTTGGCAGTGTGATGGACAAATCTTATGTTGCATTTAAAAGTAGCTGAGCTCTTAAGTGGTGAGGACTGGGTGTTTCTGGCATATTTTCATGAACAAGTTAAGATATATAAACGTTTTCAGTACAAAGACAGTGTGATATTTTTCTGCAGTATTTGAATATGTCTACCAGCCTATGACCAATTAACAGAAATTAATTTTACATTCATAGTAGCATATCAAAAAGCAGGAGTATACACAGAAGTTTAATAAATTAT